AATTCCAAAATCTTATTTCAAATTTATCTGGACCCTTAGTCCATTTGTAACTTTCTAAAGTCAAAGTTTTAATCAATCTTTTGCTGTTTATTGCTGGAGCATTTGTGGGTGATCTCAAGTCCTCTCCTTGTCCGGGGAGGAATTATTGAAGAGCCAGTCTACTCGCCGGCTCTTCATTCTGCCGCAGTTGTCAGCTCCACTTTTCAGAGCCATCTTCAGTCCACCCTTTCTTCCTCCAGAACTCCCTCTCAAAGAGATTTTTTATTACATCATTGCAGCATCTTTAAAAATAGTCAAGGCTACATACTCGCAACTATTTGAAGAATAACACAAATAAAATAATCCTGTAGGTATTGAGGGTTAGGGTTAGGGTTAGGTATTGAGGCTGTTACATTTACCCTTCAGAAGCTATCTCTAAGAGAAGTTAATTTAATCAAAAGTCTTTGTACCAAATTCTGTTTTACACATATATTTTGGCTCTGCGATGTTAGGCAAAGCAAAATTAGAATCTAACTTCTAAATCAGGAGCAGGCAATGGGGTGTCCTCCAGACTTTTTTATAACCATCCCCACTAGCTCCATTTAGAATGGTCAATGACAAAGAGTAATGGGAATTGTCCCAAATATCTGGATGGTTCCAAGTTGATTCTTAGTGCTATAAGCTCAGACCTTCTTTCAGGCTAACCAAAATGGCACAAAAAGGTATGCAACCTTTTGACACCCTTGTGGCATGTTTTATGGTTCTAATAAAGGTATTATCCACTTATGGCTTTTGGAAGATGGAAAGTCAGAAAATAAACATCAGGGTAATTCTGAATTAATCTTAACAAAAAGGCCAACAGTGGCTAAAGCTATGAGAGGTGCTAAAGAAGAGTCAGTGAACGAAAGGACTGCTACCAGCTAAGAAGCAGACAGCACAAAAGGCTGGTGGGAACCCTTAGAAGTGAAAAGGTTGAGGAAGAATAGATAATAGCTGAAATTGCTTGAAATGCATTGAAAGGCAGTAAGTCCCATCTTGGAGGAAAGTTCTAGTAGAAGCAAAGGTTCCGTGGCAGTTGAAACCTTCCACAGGGAGAGGAGGGGCACCAGGCTCTTAGCTGGGAGGCTTTCAATTCAGCCTATGACTTTCTTGCTGAACAAAAGGATTCGGGCGATTGCTCTTTTATCTTGTACTTGTCTTGCAATCAGGAAGTCTTGATAAACAGGTCTGGTGGGTCCCATACTTGGATTACAAAGGGCACTGGCTTTTAAGACCCCTTAATGTAGGTTAGGCACCCCTCAACACTTCAACAATATAGTCACAAGCAGGTTGCTTAGACAGATATTTGTATCTTATGAACAGATTATGGAATTTCTAGGGAAAGCAAAACTTTAGGCAAGATCATACAGAAGTTTAGTAAAAAATTAAAGTAAGAGAATTTGGGGCATACAATTAATATTAAGATAAATTGCAGATGAACAGTTTTTTTTTTTAAAAAAAGAACTCTTAAAATATGTATTATCTTAAAGTTTAGATTTGTTATTAATGAGTCTTACAGCACTTGTGATCCATCTTTCTCCAAAGTTGCTCAGAGGATTATGTGTGATTCTCTTTCCCTTTCTCCTTATGATAGTCTGATAGAAAATGATTGATTCAGGCTCTCTCAGCAAGTATAATGACTATGAAGCCATGTCTTCCTGGTCAAAATTTATATCTTCTGAAATTAACTGTCAGAAATATTTTAGATAGACCTAGAGAAAACTAAAATTTATCTTTCTGTGTGTTTATGTTATATTCAGAAATAGATATGTTTTAAAGATATGCACTCATATATCACACTCATATAGTCATAGTTGTTCAGCAAGTCAAAGTGACCTGGTTCAGACACCCTGCTAAACTATACTGTACCGAAATGAATGTGGTATTGTTGCCTTTAAAACTCAGGCACCCTGAGTGGCATGGAGCTGAAGACCTATTCCCTGAATTTGAGAAAGACTTTTACCTTTGCAAAGGTGGCTTTTTTGCCCACCCGAAAATACAAATCACCAAGTAATTCAAGCAAAGCAAAAAGTGTTTATTAAGGGAGGTCGAGTGTTTTGTAGGGTACAGAAACAAATGATACATACATTCGCTATATGTGATACATCAGAAAGCAACTAATTAAACAATAAAAGACATTGATTACAAAAGAGAATTGAACAATAGAAAACATTGATTACAGAAAACATTCCACAAGTGGCAAATTTATGGCTTTCTCAGCTGGGTTTGTATCTTTCTAAAAATTAGCAAGTGTATTCAAGGGCTTTCAGAATAACTCCCTATTGTTTAGTTGCTGAAAAAGCTACTTTTTGCACATAAAAGAAAGAAGTGGCTTTGGCTAACAGGAAAACATGGTTTCCTGAACTTAAAAAGGAGGCATGGATGTCATGCTAAAATGCTAATATCACCTTTTTTAAAAAAGCTAATAACGAAGCTTACAATTCCAGGCAACAGTATGACTATGGTTAGATGAGAATTAAGCCAAAAAGCTTGGCTAACAATGCACTGCCACTGTTTCATCAAGGTTTGAAGGTTACCATATCAGATGGTCCCAAAATTGCCGTTATCTGGATTTTCATAAATCAGATGTTGCAACTTTCACAGCCTGTACGTTATAAAGTCTGGTTTGCACAAGCCCCAAATAGTGTCTCTTTCATGTCCAAATGCAGGGTGCATTTAGGCTAAAATACCCTCACATTGTCTTTGACCAAATGCTTTGGTTTGTCTGTTTATTTGTCTAATTTATATAACTGCCCATCTCACAAAGCCAGTGAGTTGGCTTATTGTGCTGAAAGCCATGGCTTAGTGTGAGGTGCAAATCTTCCCAATTTTATATTCAGAGATGAATGACCAACCAAAGGAGTACCTGTCTACAAGTTTTAGGAGGGACTGGCAGAGTATTACCTTTAACTATTTCCATGTTTGCTCCAGTTACATTTTTCTATAAGCAATCAAACTTCCAGACAATTAGGTATTTTTCCCTTTCAGGTGAGATGTCTGAAAAGTTAAGTAGGTGCCGTAAGGAGCTAGCAGCAGCTATTGACCGAGCAATGGAAGATCTCTCCATTCCTTTCCTTTCTTCCCAAGATTCCAGCAACAACCAGGACTCTGATCTGCCAATAGTGCAGCTTTCTACACCCCCTAACGCAAATATCTTTAATCCTAAGGGAGAGGTAATATCTTCTACTGTGTATTGCCCCCAGCCATCTTCAGCGGTCTCTTCTCCTCCTGAAAAAGAGAATCCCCTCCTCAGGCCAAATCTCTTTCCAGTGACTGTAACCTCCACTATTCCATGTACCAAACGGGAACCGCTGATGAGCAAGGAAAATACATGGCTGCACCCACCAATCTTTATGGCTGACAAGCAGTATTTTATCAGCCTAGACGACAGCGAGAGGTGGAAGAAAGGACATGCAAGGTATGCTTTGTTCTCACAGGCTTGATTTGTGTATTTTGAGCAGCACCTGAACTTTAGTTTTCATGGCTGTTGACTTTGGTTCCTGCTAGTCAAGAACAGGGT